GGAGGTCTGTGCATTGTAGTCGGGGATTCGATCGCTAGAATAGTCTTGGATGTCCTGTGTGTTCTGAAAGTTTGTAATCATTCTAAGTCTCTGGCCAGAGCTGACTAAGTGATGATTAGAGAATTCGATTCTCTAAGTCATGCACGAAAGGATTACAACACTTAGAACGATCGCACCGTCATCGAACATATAAAGAGGTCTCGATGAACCAATGCCTCTAGTTCGATCGGGACATATGAATCGAAGGGACCGTACTGTACGTTAACTATATCTGAAGGTTCTTGCAGGCACTTCATTTGTATCTAGGGAATCATGACGCGTAGTTGCTAGACGCCAATCTTGATTCGTTGGGTGATTGAGATGAAACGAGCTTCATCTTAATCGTAACTCGAAGGGGACGAGTTTTGACCACAAAGGGTTGTGGGCCCACGGCTAGCTTACACCTGAACCATCGAGGGTCACACTGCTCGTGCACATGAGATCTTTGAATAAACGGTCAGAGATAAAATAGTTTATCTTTGCATAATTGGAAGTCAATATGATTGAGTCCAACATTCGTAATTTGGAATTATGAATGAGAATAAGAAAAGGAAAAGAATAAGCGAACATGTTAGTGAACTTTCTAAATCGGGAAGTTTCCAAATTTAGAAAGTCCACTGAACTAGGGTTTCCACTTTTGGAAAGTTGGAAAATAAGAGATGGCACTCGTAATGACGAGAAAATTATAATGACTCGGAAAATGTAATCGTTACAATTTTTCGATCATTGAATTGAGAGATACGAGCGATTAAAGAAACTAACGAGCTTAAGCTGTTGGGCCCAGTCCAACTTAAGCCCGCTAGGGTTTTGTGCAAGGGATTATAAATACATGATTTATAACCCTAGCACAAACAGATAACACACAAAAAAAAACCCTAACCCTAGTGCGGCCGCTCCCTCTCTCTCGCCTCTCTCCCGCGCGGCCACCACCGCGACACCACCGCCGCTCCGTCGCCGGAAACCGGCCGTTCCTCGGCCGGCTTTTGTTCAGTATTCTTTCTCTTTTGTTTTTCTTTCCGTTTTATTCTAACTACTTCGTGTCTAGTGCCACGATTTAGTAGATCGAAGTATACGAGGTGAAATCCGAGAGGAGGAAGATTGTAGATCGAAGAATCGAGGAGCAACGCACGAGCCGAAGCCGCACGCTGCCCCACGCGCCGCCCCGCACGACCGCGCGTGCTGTACACGCGCCGCCGTGAGCTGCCACACCGCCGTTGCTGCTGCTCCATTGCTGCCCCGATTCTACGGATTGGTTTCCGTAGTAATCACGACGAATCGTTCGCTCCTACCTCACGCGTCAAGAGGTAAATACTCGAAACCCTAGTTTCGTTTTAGGGTTTAATTCAAACTATGATTTCATGCTTATGTTTGTATGATTTTATGTGATTATGTGTAATCGATTAAATCGTTGTGAGCATGTTATTTGGTTTAAATTGCGAGCATGTTAATTGATTTAAATTCGGTTAAATTTATTAGCATGTTTGTTGTTTTAAATTTCGCTGGAAGCGCAAAGGTACGCAATTAATTGATTTAATTTGTCGGGCATGTACTTGTGTGATTTAAACTTGTTTAATTCGCATAAAATTTTTGTTTTCCGCTGCGTATGCGTGCCCGAAACCCAACAAAAGCTCCTCAACTTTTCTACCCCTGCCAATCATCTTGAAGAAGTTGTCCTGTATGACAAAATTAAATGTAGAGAAACCAATAAAAAATTGATTGTTTTGAAGAAAAGCACTCACAGAGATGAGATTAAATTTGAACTGAGGAACATAAAAAACTCCAGTAAGAAAAATCTCCTTAGACAAACAAACATCACCCACAAAGGAAACAACTAAAACAGAAGAATCAGGCAAAAGAACCCTGGAATCTTTAACAGGTCTGAGATTAATAAACAACTGTTTATCATGACAAATATGTTTAGATGCACCTGAGTCTAGAATCCAATCAGTAGAAGATAAGGAAGGAGCACCAGTTAAAGCACACATACCTGTCACACAAGAGACCGTGGCTGTATCAGCTCCATGACCAGAAGATTGTGGCTGAGCAGAAGCAACAGATTGGTGCTGTTGGGCAGCCATGTGCGAGGAGAACATAGACATAAACTGCTGACACTGAGATGGAGTCATGGACTGAAGATAGCCATCCACACCTTGAGAACTTACACCTGAATCTGAAGAATGAGAATCCAAGGAAGAATCAAAACCAGAAACTTGATTAGTATGAGAAGAAAAACGAGACTTCTGGGACTTATAGGATGGAGGATATCCATGAAGTTTGTAACACTTCTCCACAGTGTGACCCGGCATATTGCAATGTGTGCAGAAACTTCGTTCTTTCTTCTTGAAACCAGTATTGTAAAACTGATTATTAACCGGCCGCTTAAACCCCTCATTCTTGACAGAAAATACAGAACCAGAAGACTCAACATGTGAAGAGACAACTGATCTCTGACGTTCTTCTTGAGAAACAAACGCAAACACCTTAGATATGGGAGGCAGCGGATCCATGAGCAAGATTTGACCACGAGTAGAAGCCAGATTCTCATTCAACCCCATAAGAAAACTCATGACATACTCTTGATTATAATGAGCTTGCAATTTTTCAAAACCACCACAATCACATTTACCACAAGAACAACACGGCCTATAATTCGCCAATTCATCCCAAATCGCCTTGACTTTAGTGAAATAGACATTCACTGATTGACTGCCTTGAGTAAGAGTCGCCAAATCACGACGCAATTGAAAAATGCGAGGACCATTCGTCTGTGAAAACCTAGTTTTCAGATCATCCCAAATTTCTTTTGAGGAATTTGAGTACATAATGCTACCTTGAATATCTTTGGAAACCGAATTGATAATCCAAGACATGACAATATTATTATTACGAATCCAAGCATTTCGCATAACCACCTCATCAGCAGCCGGCTCAGAAATCGTACCATCAATAAACCCAATTTTGTTCTTCACGGTTAACGAAATAGTCATGGCTCGCGACCACGAAGCATAATTGTCTTCAGTTAAGAGTTGCGAAACCAGAATCAAATTCGGACCATCAGACGGATGAAGAAACATCGGATGCGAAACATCATCCAACGGAGAACGAGCTGGCGGCGCCATGAATGATCAACACCAGAAGCAACAATCGAGATGAGAAAAGATAATCGCGCGGAAACGAGAAGAAAAACGATCGATTGACTGAAAAAAAATACGATCGAATCAATGAAAAACTGATACCATGTTAGAACCCTAATCTAGGGTTCATATCAAAGAAGAAATCAAAGAACAGAGAAGAAGAAGATTTTTATTGAAGAAGAAGAAAAAAGTGTGTTACAACGGTAACAAAATCAGCTTTAAATAGCTGTTACAATAACTACCTAAAAACGCTAAAAGGAGAAAAAAACTTATAAAAACGTAATAGCAAAAACGCGTTTTATTAACAAGAGAAATAAAATGATAAATGCTATACAAAAGTTACTAAACAACATATATAAGAACTACATATCCAATATTCTCAATACTTTTTATGTGAATTTATATTAGCATTAGTATGAGTATGAGAAAGTGGCTTAGAACCCTAATTTAATCATTTTCTCAATACTTTTTATGTGAATTTATATTAGCATTAATTAGTATGAGTATGAGAAAGTTGTGAGGTTTTTTATTGAATAGTTGCAAATGAATTAAAATCGCACTGCGAGCTTGTAAAACCTGCACTATAAATAGCATTTCAGTTATTGTGTGGGTGAGTGCTAAAACTAACAGAGTTGAACGTGCCTCTATCACTAACTGACGGACTAATGGTAGATTGACGGAAATGTGTCAAATTATTGAAACATGAGGGATCAAATATATTTTTTTTGTAAATATGGGGACCAAATATGAAATCTTTGCAAACATGAGGGATGAAAACCGTAAACTTTAGGGTTGCTGAACGTTTCGATTTTAATCGACTTGAAAAATGTAATTAGATACGCTACTATAGTAGCGTCCTCCATGCAACCACACAAGGCTGTTTTTATGAACTAGAGATTTGACGGAGTGACAATTCACGCGCAACTCAAGAAACTCGATTTTTCGCGTACCAACGTTGTACACCAAGCAACCCTGAGGTGGGCGGCAAACTTGCAATACCAACGCTTGGTAGTAATTCAACCAACCAACCGGTTTTATGCGGTTATATATACGTTCGATTTTCCATTTTTCCCCACCCAATTCAATGCGTATCGTCTCCACCCATTCTCCAATTTCCGGCTTCTTCAACTCCCAAACATCCCACCTAAACTCACCGCACGAAACGAACACAGTTAGAGACCTCCCGTTCGACAAAAAATACCTCAATTCTTGTCCTCTTCCTTGAGGTACGCGAATCTCCGTAATAACCTCGGTCTCCGCATTCAAAGTCAATATACGAGTCGTCCCTACTTCTCCGGTAGTCCAATATAGAAAACCTTCACTGGTCAACGGAGTTTTGGTCAAAAGTTCCTTCGCTTCGAGAGACAAGTGTCCCGTGCAAACAGGCCTCTAAGATTTGTCGACCTCCAACACTCAATATAGCACAACGTATTCGTGCAGTTTTAGTATTATTACATGTGCAAACCACTTTATACTCCATCGAAGACGCGGCATATGCTATACCGCAATACGCGTAATCCCGGGATTCCGTTGGGGAGAAGGTACTAAACTTCGGGAGTTCGAGAAGTTGCTTCATTTTTGTTATAAATTATAATTATAACAAAAATAATGTATTCAATCAACTAAATTGACTCTATAAATTATTTTTAAAACATTAATATTAGATTATACAATTTATAAATAAATTTTAACAAACACAAAATATGAAGCTTATTTAATTATACCACTATTTATATAAGTAATTTTTAAATTATATTTATTGTATTTATTTATTTTTTTAATTAAATTAAAAAAATGTTGAGTAATATTTGATATAAATAAAACAAATAAAGCATAATATGCCATTCTTAAAGCAAACATCAATCATGAATAGCAAACTATAAATACACATACACCATTTCCGGGCAATTTTTTTTTTTTAGACTTGATTTTAAATAGTGCAAGTAAAAAGGGCTGGTGTTGAACGCTGTAAACGAATTGGAGTAGGTCGACGGTCTGGCTGGCGACTCCAAATGGTGTCGGTGTCTAACCAGACGAGGCTGTTTTTATGGACAAGAAAGCGAGTGCAGATATAATACTCAGTCAAATCAAGAACCTCGATTTCTTGCTTACCAACATTGTAGACGAAGCAATCTTCAGATGCAAAGTTATCTGGATGCAAAACTCGCACGAGCAACCCCTCGTCGTAGTTTAACCAAGCAACCGGTTCTATGATGAGAGGTCTCGGGTACTTATGCCTTAAATTTTCAAATTTCGACTTTTGACCCTCCAAATCGATACGGATCGTCTTAACCCATTCCCCGATTTTCGGTTTCTTCAACTCCCAAACATCCCACGAGAACTCACTGCACGCAATGACCACGCTCAAAGACCTCCCGTTCGACAAATAATACCTCGATTCTTTTCCTTTTCTATTGTTAAAACCTCCTCGAGGGACACGAGTCTCCGTGATAATCTCGGTCTCCACATTCAAAGTCAACATACGACGCATCCCTATTTGTCTGCTAGTCCAATGTAGAAACCCTTCGGTGGTCAACGGGGTATTCTTGAAAAGTTCCTTAGCTTCGAGAGACAAGTGTTGTACGTCGACGCGCCTCCATGATTTGTCGACTCCGACAGTCAATATAGCACAACCCAACATCGCGGCTGGAGTAGAAGTCCTCTGATCGGGATGACCGGATATGCAAACCACTTTATACTCCATCGAAGCTGCAGCATATGCTATACCGGAACAAGCACAGTATGCCAGATCGAAGTCACCGAATGGAGGGAGTTCGAAAAGTTGCTTAGTTACGGGATTGAGGATGCAGAAAGCAGAACTGGTTGCGGGATGATACTCCAATGTTAAACCATTACAACTACTCCAGCATCTGCATCGATACTCGTAATCGATCTTGGATATCTCGATTTTTCCTTTCACCATTGACACGAAAACGGGGTAGCTTCTATGTGCAGAATACTTGATGAGAATTCCGGGAGTTGAATTCTGAAGGTGTGAGTATATGAAATTATGGGTATGGATCATACGGTACCACTTGCGGCAAACAACCATTGCCGCCTTGAAAATATCTTCGGCTCCGAGATGTAAGAGAATTTCCGACTCCAATTCTTCCGGAAGAGACTCTAAATAATTTGTTGTTGAACTCACCTGAATATATTAAAATAAATACATATAATTATCAATTAATGTCAAAATTCAGTATAAAAATTCAATCTTTAATTTTTTTTATTTTTTTTTTTTACAAATCAAATAAAGTTATGTTGCCGGCAATTCTTTAAAATAAAAAAAAGTACCTTTGAATTTCTTGCTTCTTTATTTGCCATCAAAGTTGGTACGATGTCTAACTTAGGGCCCATCACGCCGACCGCCAGCGAGACATCCCTGCGACGGTGACCAGCCGGCGGCGGAGGCTGTCGGACCGGTGGCGGAAAATCACGCATTTTACAAGGCTGTTTTGTTTGTTTGTTTGTTATTTTTTTTCTCGATTTCTTAATCCTATGGTCTGGATTTTTATTGTTTCATCTACACATACCAATATTATTGGTTTATGTGTGTCGATAAATGATAAATATTTACTTGATGTAGCGTAATAATAGAATGGAAAATTTGACCGGCATAATTGGCTTTTGGCATGGTTTTGATCCAGTTGCGGTACAATTTTATTCATTTATTCAAAATTTCTCGGGTTTTTTTGTACTTTGCACCATTGAATTACACAATTTTGGCACTTTGCATTCTTAAATTGCAAAATTGGCAAATTGCACCCTTAAAACATAAATTGTTTGGCACTTTGTTTGGCACTTTGCACCCCAAATCAATTTTGGTTTAAAAAACTTACCTGCAACTTGTTGGAAAACCTGGAAGATGGGCAAATTCATAATTTTCTTAATATGTATCATCTTTCCCCAATTGTTAATCACCATTTTTATTTTTCATCCCTTTAATCAAAAAGTCATAAAATCTTTTTAGCCATTTCTTTCAGTGGTAAACCAGTATAAACACTAAATAATAAGAGTAAATCACTTTTTTTTTTTTTGCTTTTGAGTTTGAAAAATAATGTAGCTGGAAATTTTAGGCCTATCCCTAAAATAAATTCATTTTTTTAGGGGCTCTTTGAGAAAACTTCCTCACTACTTTTTTTAATTGAGGGAGGCCCAAAATATTTTAGTCCATTTGAGAAAAGTCCAAACCCATTTTCAGCAATTATGTTTTCCAGCTTTACCCCCGCCCGCCACCTCATCATTAGGTCAGCGCCCCGCGATTTTTTTTTTCCGTTTTTTTAATCGACTATGAAGCATAGTCGATTAGTCTTAAATCGACTATGCTTCATAGTCGATTAAGGAAAATTTTTAATTTTTTTAATTTTTTTGTGTTTCTAATTTTGTTTTTAAAATTTTTTTGGTTTTTTTAATTTTTTTCTCTATCTGGTTTATTAATGCATAGTCGATTAAAATTTTAGCTATTAAAAATAACAAATCACAATTACAAAAAATGCAAAATCAACTATATTTAAAAAAAATATATACAAACATTGTAATTGATTTATACATTGGAATTAATAAACAAAAAATCAAAAAAAAATTAACAACTGGAGTCGGTTAACCTTAATCGACTACTGAACATAGTCGATTAAACACACGTAGTCGATTAAGGGCCCTGCCTGCGCGAATTTCTTTTTCTGCGCCGTCTTCCGCCACAATCCACCAAAAAACCCTAGATCTGCTCTTCATCGTCACCACATCGTCGCCACACCACACCATCACCACCCCACTTCCATATTTTAAGTAGTACGGAGTAGTGAGTACAGACAATTTCTCTTCTTTACATAACCTTAACCTCCTCCGCCGCTCTATCGTCTCCACGCCGGAGCTCCACAACTCCGGAGCTGCCGCCGCGGTATCCCAGCCCGAACCAGATCTCCCGAAGCGGACACATGTAGCCGGTGCCCGGGTTCACTTCCCCAACCGGGACGACGCAATTGAGGTGTTCGTCGACGGGTACCCGGTCAAAATTCCCAAAGGAATGACGTTGCTTCAGGCGTGCGAGATCGCCGGCGTTGATATCCCGAGGTTCTGCTACCACGACCGCCTCTCTATCGCCGGAAACTGCCGCATGTGCCTTGTCGAGGTCGAGAAATCGCCCAAGCCCTTCGCTTCTTGCGCCATGCCATCTCTCCTTGGTATGTCAATTGTAATCTACTAATTAAGGGTAAATTTGGAATTATAAAAGTTAAATTTCGTAGAATACTAACCAAGGGGGTTTTCTCAAATTATTTTTGAAATGGGCGGTTTTCTTAACTACATTTCCTAGATGAGGGGGGTCTTGCTAATAATCCCTTTTTTTTAATAGTCAAATGACAAAACAAAATAAGGTTACTGGGGAATTTTATTTGTTGGCAGAGAGGTGGTGTCGATTAGTTTCATGATGAGAGAAATTTTGTGCTCCCATTGAATAGTCTGTATGAAAAATGATTAAAAAAATAGCGTTACAATGGAATAAAACTTGATCTTCTGAAGCTGAGTTATCAGACTCTTGTCTATATATTCCGATCGTTCTTGATTTTTAGCTCAAAATTTACATATTAGGGCAAATAAAAATGGCTAAGAAGAATTTGTAATTTTTTTATTAAAAGGACGAAAGACAAAAATTGTGGAACGATGATTAATAATTGGGCGAAGAGGATAGATAATTAGAGAATTACATATTTGTCCATCTTCCAGGTTTTCAACAAGTTGCAGGTAATTTTATTAAGCTAAAAGTGGTTTGGGGTGCAAAGTGCCAAACAATTTATATTTAAAGGGTGCAATCTGCCAATTTTGCAATTCAAGGATGCAAAGTGACAAGATAGTGTAATTCAAGGGTGCAAAGTGCCAAAAACCCAAATTTCTCCACCTTTTTCCAAATACTCTTACTCCCCAAATTTTAAAAAATTGCAAATCGTAATTTTTTCCCCATAGTACCAATTTAAACACATCAATTATTAATACGCCCGAAACCAATTCATATTCAATTTTTATGCATAACGTGTAATACAACCCAAATGCACAATATTTCTTATGTTCGTCCAATTCGTGTCACAAAATACAAACATGCATTACTTGTAGAATAACACGAAATGCATGCTTGTATTTCGCGTTATTGAACACGAAATCCCTAAAAAATCAAAAAGTTGATGCAATTCGTACGTTTTGGAAAAATCTACACCAAACGCATAAAAAAAAGATCTAAAGTGCCCTATTTTGTGCTTTAAAGCACGAAATGAAGTTGTAATTTTTTTTTCGAAATCGATTGATTCAATCTTAAATCTAACCTTAATTACGATGTTAAATTTTACATAGTAAGTAACTATTTATCTCAAACCATTATCATAATTGCTCGTTTAGTAAAACCCGCACTATGAATAACATTTCAGATATTGTGTGGGTGAGTAAAAAGTTTGTGTGTATGTAAGAAGATTGTCGAAAATGCGCAAAGCCTAGTTCAAAAAGCCTCTTTGCAGTACAAACGAATTATAAGCAAAAAGGGTAGAGCTCAAATGTGAAACTAAAAACGATACGAGACTATACTCAAATCAAGGCACACAGCGAAATGTTCCACAACTTGACAGTCATGTCAGCAACACAAACGGATGCAAGTAGACCTACTGCTCTTGAAGCATCGACAATAGATACAATTCCACCATGTCCCGATGTGCTCTTCGTCGATACGACTCCCGACGTGGCCAATTTACAGAGCTCCAAATACTGTATATTATAAAATTATCTTTCAAGTCAATATAAAAATGGATCAGATAATTTATAATTTATTTATTAAATTTTGTAACAACTCATTACCTGGGAACGGCCGATAACAAGAGAACAACGCTGATACACAGGATCGAATACACAACATTTAAAATAGCCATCTGTTTGGCGGCCAATCTTATACAAACACTCCCGTGTTTCCAGTCTCCACACCTTCGCACAATCTGCACTCAAAGAAGCCAGTGCATCTCCACACTCTCTCCAACAAATAGAATTTATCTGCCCGTCGTGGCCCTTAATTTCATAATTACAACAAGTTGTCAGTAATTAATATTATCACAATGAATACCTCAAGAACAAAGAGGAAATAAAAAATTTGGACCTCTAAACAATGTTGAAAGACCAACGTAGTCGCATCGAATAATGAGACATTTTTCTCAGTATTTGCTGCTAAATACTTTCCAACAGTTGGTTGGAATCTTAACTGGGCAGCACCAACCTAATACACAATTAGCCACATGAATTAAAAAAGACAAGGACAGATGATAAATAAATAAAGGGTTTAATTTTTAGTCACCTTCACTATTTTGGTGCAAAGACCACTTCTAACGTCCCAGCGTCGTAGTTCTTCATTGTCGTCACAAGAGCATAGGATATGTTCTTCCTTGGGATGAAAATCCAAAGAAAGAACATCCCCCCTATGGCCTTGTAACATTCCAACGAATTGACCAGCCTGTAACAGTAAAAAGAATGGGTTAAATTCCAAGAAATCGTCAAATTGCGCACAAACCCGTAATTTATCCAAAAAGAATGTAAATGCGCAGTTACCTACAAAAACAATATATATATATATATACATACATATATATATATATATATATATATTATTTATATATATATATATATATACATAACTTACGTTGTTCGCATCCCAGATTTTCACCATTTGGTTTGATGAAGTGGCAATGAAAGACGAGCTACTATTGAAGCGGATATCGGTAATTCCAAGCTGATTAGTTTCAAAAACCATGCTCGGTTGCAAAGTAGCTGTTGCCAATACATACACCTGTCATGTTGAAATGTATTATGTCATGTTAAAATGTATAGTGTCTGAACATAATGTCATGTTGAAATGTATCACGTCATGTTAAAATGTATAGCGTCTGAACATCATTTCATAATTTCAATGGGTTAGTAATTTTAAGTCCACTTACTTTGTCGTTTAAACTACCAGCGCATGCGAGCAACTTGCCGTCGGATGAGAAATGGCAACAACTGAATCCATGTTCATGGGTTGAAGACATCACTTCCGTAAGTGCGAAACCTAGATAGTATAAAAATAGTTATACGTACTAAATTTGATGTTAAAATGGAGGGGGGGGGGGGGGGGGGGGGGGGGGGGGATCATATCACTTGCATGTGTGATTCACGTTGGCCTACAAAAATTAGATGTGTCAGTTTGATATTCAAATGAAAAAAATTTTAAAAAATCATATACTGAGGTCCACATAGGCTTTTTTACAATCTTACCCGTTTATCCATATCCTGATTATGAGCGAGGGATTCAACAAAACCAGTATCCATGTTAGAATCTTGAATATCCTATTCAAAAGAATAGGATATCTTTTTCTAAAGATTCAACAAAATCTTTTTTTTGTTTACTTGTTTCATTTACAAAGATCCAACTATTTATTTTATAATATAGTCAATGCCAATTGATTGAAAACGAAACTTATGTTTTTAAGAAGTTGGAAGATGTTTCGATGAACAATAAATACACAACCATTCAATGCAACATCATCAATACAAGTAAGGCCATAAATCTTGAGTCAGCACGGGCTTACACAGAATCTTGAATATCCTATTCAAAAGAATTGATGCACCATTCTCATTAATTATTCATGATGACCACATAGTTCTATTAAGTATTAACTACTCACCAACTAGCAAATATAAACTTACAAAAAATAAAAACACTTTGTGGAGTTTCATTTATTTAATTCCTGAAAACCCTAAGACATAATATTTCAAGACATAATATATGCATAGTTTCCTTAAGGAAAGGCTTTTAGGAGGATTTAGACCTCATCATGTTTCACCACTACAATCAGCATAATAAGATGATTCTTTCTACACAGATCAATTGACAAAAAAAATTGCAATGTAAAACTTGCATTAAGTAATAATAATAATAATGACTATGCAAAGTTATGTGATTTAAGAAAGTTAAGATGCAACAAAATGCACAAAAATCAATATCAAAATGTATGTTTAGTTTTAGTTAACCTTAATAAAATTTGAACAAATTTCTGATTGACGAAAGAGCGACCATCCTTCTAGGAGAAAGCTCTTGGGAATATCAATCAAAGATTGAACATCTACAAAACAATATTATCAACAAAAAAATAACATTAAAATTTAGATATAATACAGATTCCTAACGCGATTATTCTAATTGGGGTTCAAAATACTCACCGTTGGGGTCTTGTACTAGACATTGAGATTTGAAAGCCAAAGCAATGTCGTTGAAGCCTTTCTTCACGAGATAGTCGTGAATGTAGAGTCTAAGCCTAAAAAAGCAAAGGGCATATCATGTTTCTAGAAAACCTATTTAGAGATATTAAATATCTGACCCTGAGTATATACAATCAAGTTCATAATCCGCATTATCAGACCCCTATTTTTTGAAACAAGTAAACAAAATTAAACAAACCCTAAGCATAATCAAAACCCTAACCGGCATAATCAAAACCCTAACCGGCATAATCAAACCCCTAACCCGTATAATCAAACCCCTATTTTTTAACCTGCATAATCAAGTCCCAAACCAGCACATGTACCCCCACTTTTTTGTTAAAAACAACATGAATAGACATTCTAGTGTATTAAACACAAAAAAAAAAACATAAGCATAGTTAAATCCCTAACCGGCATAATCAAAACCCAAACCGGCATAATCAAAACCCAAAACCGCATAATCAAACCCCTGTTTTTTTGTTACAAACCAATGAAAGAAACATCAAAGTACATAGAACACATCAAAAACCCTAAGCGTAATCAAAACCCTAACCGGCATAATCAAAACCCAAACCGGCATAATCAAAACCCAAAACCGCATAATCAAACCCCTGTTTTTTTGTTACAAACAAATGAAAGAAACATCAAAGTACAGAGAACATATCAAAAACCCTAAGCGTAATCAAAACCCTAACCGGCATAATCAAAACCCAAACCGGCATAATCAAAACCCAAAACCGCATAATCAAACCCCTGTTTTTTTGTTACAAACAAGTGAAAGAAACATCAAAGTACAGAAAACACAACAAAAACCCTAAGCATAATCAAGTCCCCAATTTCTGTTACCAAAAACAAAAAAATGCGATTCAACGAAGGAAAGAAGCAAAGAGAGAAGGAGTTTACGATTTCTCATGACTATCATCGCCAGACATGGTTGCCAAGAAATCAGAAATCTGGAGTGCTGCAGAATTCTCGCTCTCTCTCTCTCTCTATATTCTCTCGCTCTACTCTCACACACTCTCTCTCTCTATTCTCTCGCTCTATATTCTCTCCCACTCTCTCGCTCTATATATATTCTCTCGCTGGTATCAACTGAGGCGGAGACTCGGGTTGCCAAGTTCCTAATAATTTGGTACCGAAGGTTTTTCTATTTTTATATATTTATCACATTTTATTTTATTATATATGTTATAAAAATTGAGAGAATGATCTGAATGAATACAAAAAATATAACTAAATTTACATTTATAAGATTTTTCAATAATTCGTTAGTACAATTTTATCAAATAAATGTCGTAGTTAAAATTGATCTAATTTTGGGGTGGGTGGTGAGCATATAAAATGACGTCTTTAGCCATGTTGCAATTTTTTTTATTTTTTTTTTTACTATTTTTTAACTAATATTGCATTTATAGTAGATGGAATAAGTTTTTTTTTAAACTAATAATCTCATAATTTTCATTTTATTTAGTTGTTCAAATTAACTTAATTTCATAATTGGCACTAATTGTTCTTCTCTGGTACAATGAACTCCAAAACCCCACGAATTCGAAATTAGCTAGATGTATTAGATGAAACCAACAAGTTATCAATACTAAGCTAAAGCTTATTATGTACCTTGAAAAAGCTAGTACCAAGAAGTACTTTTAACACCCTCTTCAGGCAGTCTGATCATATTCCTTCTTCCATAGGTTAATTTTTTTTTTTTTTTCTTTTTTCTTTTTTTTTTTTTTTTTTTGATCTTCTCCGGCAATCCAATGTTGAATTTCACCACATCAAAAAGAAAGCATTCCAAGTAGTTCTTTTTCAGCCAACTTGTGTGGATTCAGTAATACACTCATCCCATCTCCATGCATTCTTTGTACAAGCGCCAAGAAACAATATTAACTGCATAAACGGATTATAAGTACGATTTGACAGCAGAAATAAGTAGGAAGATGACCATTTGGACGCACGAGATAAAAGAAACGGTTAGGTAATCTTTTTTCACATTAAAACTAATACGGCAGAGAACCAACAAAATATTACCTCGAGATGTAATTTACTATTTTTGTCTAAGAAATGGGGTGCGTTTTCTGCAAGAGAGAATATAATAAACCCACAACCAAGATTCCACCAACTCGTTATCGGGGATGAAAACCACAAGAAGCAAACATGGCGTTAAAAGTCGCATTACAGACCGAACTCAAGAAAGCCAATTTCAAGCAAACCCAAGATGTACGTACGGGAATTTTTCCCACTTTTGACCTTCCAAGTCAATGTGGATCACATCTTCGTCCATTTTCCCACGAAAACTCACTGCATCCAATGACCCACAACACTACTCAAAATTCGACAAATAAATGCCTCGATTCTTGTCCCTCTACCATTGTCACAGCCTTGAGGAACACAAGGAGTCTCTGTCATAATCTCGGTCTCAACATTCAAAGTCAAACATATGAGAGAGATTTTCGAAAAATCCCCCAAGATTTTCACCCATCAGATTATTATCAAAATTCAGACATGCATACTAAATTTTTGCCTCGGAGATACCGAAGAATTTCCACCACTAAATTTTTACGACACGATTGTGTTTTGGCCCCGGCCTCTATCTGCATACAAATTATCTGTAAAAATCAAACCTAACTATATCCCAATAACCAGGAGATCTGGTCTTTGAAGCTAAATGGAACACAAAAATTGAATCTTTAACTAAATTCGTTTTCACAACTCAAAATCAAGTTCATTTTCTAAAGGACAAAATTAAAGAAAGTTCAATTTTTGGAATCTGGCGCATCAAAATACAATTTTCCTCTACGATTTGGAGAATAAAAACACAAAAAATAACGAAATCCTTGTAAAATACAAATTTCTTCTACGATTTGGTGAATAAAAACAGAAAAAATAATGAAACCCTTGTAGATCGAATCGTATGCACGTTTTACAAGCAAGTATTGCCCAAAATTCTATTAAAAAAAAATACCTCTAAATTTCCTTCTTCTCTATAAGTCATATTTAAATGAGGATCCATCAAGCCATCGGTGTGGCGGCGGCTGGTGGTGCCGGCGCCGGCGGCTGGTGGATTTGTAAGGAATTGTTTTTCTTTCTTTATTTTTTTTGTTTATATAGTTTAATTTCTAAATATGCCAGAGCTGGAAAACATAATTGGGCTTTGGCATGGGCTTGGCGTGGGCTACTAAAAACTTTTATTTTTCCATTTGAGCCATTTGTTTTTGGATAAATAGCACATAAGACCCCTTTAGTTTGAATTTTGTTCACATTACATCCTTTTACTTTTCATATAAGTATATAACCGGCTCCTTCGACCCTACGCCCGGTGATAAACACGGGGTGGGTCTTAAGAACATTATTTTTTTGCACATTGCACATTTAAAATGTTATTTTTGTTGCACAATGCCCTCCAAAAATTGGCTAATGGGCCAAAGTTCAATCATATAATATTTCGACGGGGGAATATCCATTTTTTTAATTGTTAGGGGGGAAAGTGCGAAAAGTAGAAATTTATAGGGGGCAAACTTCATTTTGTCCTAAATAAAAAAGAATTCGCAGCAGTGGACGGGCAAAATAGAGTAATAGACTCTCCTGAACGGCGTCGTTTAAGAATCCACCCTAACCATCTCTTTCGTCTGCTCCCCCCCCCCCCCCACACAGAAATAGGGTTATTTGGTCCTCTCCTCTCTTTTTTTTATTTGTCTTGGGGTGTGAGGGGG